GTCCCAAGGGGCGCAGGGCAAGCACTCATGGGGGCTGGTGTCTCTGGACTCCTAGGACGCTCAGGTATGGGGTTCAGGGGTGTCTGGGCGCTGGGAGGGGGGCTTGTGAATTCAGCCCTCTCTCCTCCAGCTCCTGGTCACTCCCTCAGCCCCTCCCTCACTCTGGTCTCACCTTGCGTTTGACATCGAAGGGCAGTGTCATCAGCAGGGAGATGTAGAAACTCAGCTCGAGGAGGTACCACCAGTACAGGGCGGGCTTCAGAAGCTGGGCGGGGCAAGGTTAGCTGTGGGAGGGGCCCTACACACACACACACACACACACACATACACACACACAGACACACACACACCATTTGCCCCAGCCTGTGCACTCATATCTTGTTCGATGAGCAAGAAGTGAGTGTCTCATCCCTGGAGGTAATCAAGAGCAGTGGTTCTTATGGCAGCTCCTGGGCCTAGTTTCCAGACTCTGTTCCAAGAGAAGTCTTGGAAGGTCAAGTTCAAGGCCAGGGAGGGTTGTGGGGCGATGCCCCTGCTTGGCGCCCCCTTCTGTCCACCCTCTCCCACTGCATCTCTGACTTTTGGCTTCTACAGGCCTCCATACAACCCCTGCAGCTCACCTGGTTTGGGTAATTTTCCCAACACATTCTTGGCTCCCACAGCCACGACTCCTGTGGAGAGGGGTGGGGTCGGCTGGTGAGTTTGAGGCTCCCAGTCCCCACTGGGCGCCCCTAGGTCATCATCACACTTATGCTATACCACCTGACTCTCCCCCACTCTAGGTGAGGAACTCATATCTGCAGGGACCCCATGACCAGCAAGTCCTTGGCAAGTGCCTATCAGGTGAGGCAGGTAGAGGGACAGGGGACACACTCACGTGGAATAGGACTGAGAGGCCACCCACGAAGGTACACAGATAGAACAGAAACTTCCAGCTGCAGGAGGGGGAGCCCATGAGGAAGTGAGGGTGCTGGCGCACCCTAGCATCCCCAGACCTGACCCTGAGTCCCAGCCCCACTCTCACCTGGCCTCACAGAACTTCTTGCTGAGCTGAGGCTGTTCCTGGTTCCAGCGGCGCCTGAACCACCGCTGGGTCTGTCTCAGGGTGAGGCCACACTGGGTGGCCAGGAGGGCCAGCTGGGGCTGCAAAGGGAGGGGCGACAACATTGTCCTGGGGCCCTAGGATGGTTTCTGGTCCCCTCCCAGGACAGGCAGGACCTTCTGTCTCTGAGGATGGAGGGGGGGAGGTGTCCTGGGATGGGGGCCTCATCCTGCCCTACTCTCCCACCTACACAGAGCTCTGCCCTTCAGGGACACCCAGAGCACTGAGGGGCCTGGGGAAGGGGCTGGATAAAGGATCCCGGAGGTGCCTTCCTGCATGCCATCTAGAAAGTCAGGGTCCTCCCACCCCCTGAAGGCAGACAAGGAACCACAGACTCTCCTTGACTCCACCCCCACTCCCAGGTACAGAGACCTTCTCCCACCCACTTAGGACCTAGCAAGACCCCACCTAGTGTGGCAGTTACTCGCATGGGTGAGAATGGAAAGAGGAAGTATCCACTTCTCCCCAGGGACAGGAGAGAAACCTGCCCACTCCTAGGCCCTCTGAGGGTGGACTAGAGGGTGGGTCTCAGGAGTGCTGGGCAGCCAGGCAGCACCCACCTCCTTGGGTCTCCGGTTCTGTGTGAGGAAGTATTTCTCCAGTGTGGGGTTGGGTGCCACTGGCTTCCGGATTCGGTCCTGCACGCCCAGCCACCGGCTCAGGGGCAGCGCCACAAACCTGGAGTGAGGGACAAATGTCAGGCCATGGAGCAGGGACAGGGCTGAGGGGGAGCATGCTACAGATGGGGAAACTGAGGCTCAGAAGGGCCAGGCAAGCCCAGCGGCAGGTGGCAGCATGGAAGGTTTGGGAACTTTCTTCTTCATCCAAGGAGCAAGGTCTGACAAACTTCCCACGGCTGATCCCAGCCTTGAGACCTGGGGCCCTGGGGAGCCTTGTCTCTGCACCAGACCAAACCCAGAGACGGCAGGGCATGCCAAGGGCGTCAGAGGACAATGGGTCTCAGAGGGCCTAAAAAAGCTGGATTTGGGGAAGGAGATTGCCAGGACGTTCTTCTGAGGTGTCTCAGGGAGAACTTGAACCTTCAATATTTTTCCCCCCTGCCTCCTTCTTTCCCCTCATCACTTCCCACATAGATAATCCAGGATCATCTCTATCTTGAGAGCCTTAATTGACCCTTCAATCTGTTGGTTAACAGCCTAGTGTTTCCACTGCACCTCTAGAAAGGACACCGGGGCAAAAGGAAGACTCAGCGCTGTAGGTCCTGGACCAGTTGGGAAAGGAGTAGGAGTCCACAGGGGGTCTGCCAAATAGGCCAGAGGTGTTCTCGTGTTCTGGTGGCACAGTGATTACAGCACTCAGCTACTAACTGAAAGGTCAGTAGTTCAAACCCTCTAACCGCCTTGCAGGAGAAAGGGAGGCAGTAAAGCCAGCGCCCGAGACAGCCTGTGGTCAGTGCCACTCTGTCCTGCAGGGTCAGGGTCTGGGCTGGGATCAGGTCAACCACACCCACCACCATCAAGTAAGTACAGCTTCTCGAGCTTCAGGATGGGGGTGCTAGTGCTAAGTCCTGGGGTACCGTGCAGCTGTGCTTTTCCCAAACCATGGATGGGGATTCCATCACTGCCTGACTCCTGTGGTGTGTCTCCTGGTCAGTTACCTCCTGGAGAAAATGTCTATTCACAATACTGACCATTAGAGGGCGCGCAGGACCACAGGGAAGAGACTACATTTAAAAACCAGCAGAACAAGATTCAGATCTGTTGACAGGGTCTCTACAAGTCACAGTCGACTTGATGGCATCTAATATCAACATCATCGTTTCACCTGGCGCGTGAGGACACGGAGGCCCAGCGCAGCTCAACAAAACTCATTCCAGACTCAGTGGTATCGGCAGAGAACTAATGCTCTGACTCCGTGAACTTCTCCTTAACTCCATTCTCATCATCCCCACTATCTGGATGGGAAAATGAGGCTCAGAGGGACCAAAGTCATGCCTTGGATCACACGGTAGAGAATACATGTTTTACCGGAATTCAGAGTCAGAGTTAATTTTCCTTTATAAAGAACGAAAAGTACCCAGACAGTGCTCTTTCCAGGTACCAGAATGTCCCTGGAAGATGGTAATAGCCTGGTACATGCCGGAACGGGGAGTTGGTGAGCTACATACAACATGTAACTCTTCCCCTTCCAGAAGTGGACCTGGGCCCAGTCCTGTGCTGACTTACCCTTGAGATTTTCAGTGGTTCACCTTTCAGAGGTAGATCACCAGGTCTTTCATTTAAGGTGCACCTGAGTGGACCAGAACCTCCAACCTTGTAGTGATCAGCTGAATGTACTAACCATTTGGAGCGCTCAGGGCTCTGGAAGGCCTCAGGACAGATGGTTACAGGGACTGGGGGAAGGAGGAAGAAGTCCCTCCTGGGTGGGGGGCCTCCAGGGTGTGAGGAGGACATCAGAAAAGGACTGAAAATCAAAAGGTTTGACAATTTGCAGTCTCAGGAACTTGGTGTCCCTGGGCGGTGCGAATGGTTAAGTGTACAGCTACTGACTGACAGGTTGTTCGTTCAAACCCACTCAGAAAGGTGTCACAGAAGAATGGGGTGGCTGTCTGCCTCTAAAACCCTGTAGACCACACTCCTTAACTTGGGCGAGTCTGGAGAGCTTTATACTAAGAAAACTCACTAAGTCTCATAAGGATAAAATCTGTACAAGACCATTATTGTGGAAATAGGTGAGTGGTAACACGTGTATGAGATTCTAATAGGGGACAGGGGACCAGAGAGGTGAGAATAGGCAAGGGGTAATCAGGGCTCAAATAGTTTGATGGGAGGGTTGGAAAAGTGGGGTATCTGGTGTGAGGGTCAATGTATACGAACTTTGTAGGTAAACCAGTGTAAAATTTTAAAAAAGCCAAACAACATAACACCAACCCTTTTGAACATAGTTCTACTCTGCTACTCAGGGCACCAGGAGTCTTGGGTTGACTAGATAGCACTTGGTTTCATTTTGGAGGGGTTCTTTGCAGGGCAGGTGGAGGGTCGAGGCCAGCGTGTATTTTTATAGATGGTAATGGAGCTGGGCAGACCATCAGTTGCTAATGTGCAAGTTCAAATTGAGGCTGAAGAAAATGAAATAACTTCACAAAACCCAAGATATGATCTTGAATCTATTCCATCTGAATGTCAAGATTTACTTACGAAAACATGTGAAAGATTGAACAATAATGATCGAAGACCACATGAGTCCATGAAGAAAGCAAAAAGTCAGTAGGAAGAAAGAAAAGAAAAAGCCAACATGAGTGTCAGATGAGATTCTAAAAATTGCACTG